CAGCAGCAACAAACTATCGATTAACGAAAGCACACGTCTCGACAAAGAAACTTATCCTGTTCCGTGAGAAACCGCTTTTCGATGCGCAGCCGTACCCGCTGACAATTGCGCCGGGAGAAATGAACGTGTGTCCCGATAAAAGAAAACGCGAAACGAACGGTATCGGTCGGTGAGACGCCAGTGTCAACGACACGCGGACAAGGGAACCGTAAGGCTTGAAAGAGGAACACGTTTCTGTATTTACACCGTGAAACACGGCGCACGATGGGAGGATATCGTAGCAAATAACGAGAACCCGGCTATCTGGAAACCCAATTACTCGACGTGGTGCATCCGTGTTATTCCATTCCCAGCGAATTTCATGAGCGCTACACTAGCCGAAAGTACTATAAAGTCATCTTCATTTTCATAAATATTTTCAAATACCGCCATTTTTATTGCTCCATCGTACCTGTTTTTACATTTTGTTGACACTTACAAGGGAACATATCGAACCCAGACACGCCGATTGTAATGCCCTTTATATGGGATATAGTTTGCGAAAAAATATTTGACACGTGTTTTTTTATATCTGCCATCGTCCATATTGAAGGGGTGAAAACAGCCCTCAAAGTTGGAGGTTTACAACATCTTTTTTTTTTAATATCTTGGGAACTAGAGGGTATAGATAAACATTTTTTTTTGTAAATTTTATGTTTTTTTTTAATGGAGAATGTAATTATCTAAACGTTTGTTTTTTAAATTTATTTGTTTAAATAAATGGAGTGGCTGGGTTCGATATGTTCCTTTGTTAGATGGAATGTGCTTTCTGTTCCGCTATGTTTACATTGTGCGTTTGTTTTCATTTTTTTTTCTGCGTGCGGCAGAATAAAAGTACGAAATTTCTATAAAATTATATAGTTTTTGTCTGTATTCGAAACGGATAAGTACGATAAACTACGAATATTCTAAAGGTATTAGTATCAGAATTCATAGAAATCGTATATTTGTGAAATCTCATTCGTTAATTTACTCAAGTAGACTCTAAAAACGTACAATTTTGCATATAAGTATATGCTGATCTTACGAGAAATGCAACGAAGTGATTTTAGCACAGATTGGACTTAAAACTGTTAACAAGCGAAGAAAAGGCATCGATTGATGCTTTAGAAGATATATAGTTCTAATCGCACAGTCGCAAAAAAAATTAATCGATCGTATACAGTGATAAATAATTACATGAATTTATGTGAAAATTGCGGTAAAAGCCACTTTAAAGTTGATATCCAAAAACTATCAAAGCTCTTTCTCTAGACAACGGTCATTAGACTGTTTAACACAATTTGTAATCTGCAATATCCATTGGGAGATCCTTAAAGAGTTCTTCATGCAGATCACGAATCCGAAAGCAGCATTTCTCAATCTCCCTCAATTTTTTAAAAAGCTTTTGTAAAAACACCCAATCTTTACCAAAAAAGACGTATTAAGTGAAAACTAAAAACTTTAGAATGTGAAATTTAATCTTGAAAAATAGAGGAGAGTTCTCTGCATACAACAATATATTTAGTTATTAAATTGTGGAGTTCCTAATGGTTGTAAATATCCGTGAAAGTTTAAAAAAAGAGTCGATATTCGTATTTTCTATGCATTATTTTTGTGTTTTTGCGAAAGTTATTTTCGCGTCAGATATTCGTGGAAATTTTGTTTTCAAGTATGTAAATCCAGGTCCTGATTTATCCATCGGTATTCTCGGTGTCGATTAGACGTAGCTACGGCACTGAAGAGTCCAGGTAAGCGAGCAATGGCCGTGTGGCGGTAAAACGCCACGCACATGTTCTCGACGGATGTCTTCTCGGCCTGTTCGAATTAAAAACCGTTCCAACACTTTTTCTGGATGGTTTCTTCTTCAGGAATGTCTACAGAATCCGATACTGTGTAGCAAATTAGCGCTACGTACAGAATGTTTCGTAAAAACGCAAAAATAGTGCAGAGAAAATACGCACATCGGCTCTTTTTTAAACTTTCACGGCTATTTAGAACCATTAAGAACTCCACAATTTAATAACTAAATACATTGTTGTATGCAGAGAACTCTCCTCTATTTTTCAAGATTAAATTGAACTTTCTAGAGTTTTCAGTTTTCACGTAATACGTCTTTTTTGGCCAAGATTGGGTGTTTTTATAAAAGCTCGTTTTTCAAAAATTGAGGGAGATTGAGAAATGCTGCTTTCGGATTCGTGATTTGGATGAGGAACTCTGTAAGGATCTCCCAATGGATATTGCAGATAAGAAAAAAAGTTTAAATTTGTTGGACAGTGTTATTAATGAGGTCTGCGGCTAAAGAAACAAAAAATGCAACACAACTTCGTGTTGAATTGGAGCTCCCAATAACATTTAGACGTGTGCAACAAATTTTAAATACTTCTGAACGGTATTGTTTAAAAAAAAATGTTACGTAAACCAGGCCTTAAAGAAGAACATAAACAGGCCCGTCTCGATTTCGCAAGGGCACATATGTCCTGGACAAAGGAATGGCAATCTGTTATCTTTTCAGACGACAGAAAGTTTAATTTGGATGTGCCAGATGACTATAAATATTATTGGCAGAATCTGAGAAATGAAAAGAACGTGGCAATGAGTCGTAATTTTGGCGGTGGTTCCCTAATAATTTGAGCTGCGTTCAAGGTTGACAAATAAATTCCAATTTGTTACATAAGTCATAAAATGAATTCGGAAAAATATACAGAATTGTTCAAAATGATATTAATATCATTTGTAGAAAATATCGAAGATGACAATTTTATTTACCAGCATGATAATGCTGCAGTGCACACATCTAAGCACACAAAGCAGTGGTTCCTTAAAAAAAGTATCAATGTTTCACTATGGCCTGCTTGTTCTGCAAATGGCAATGCTGAATTAATAAGGCGCGACCTGTCACGAATATTTAAGGAAATTACTACTGGAAATAAAACTGCCAGTGAAGTGACAAGAACTTTAGATTTGCCGCTGACCACGCGACGTTTCCTATAAATATTGCGGCAAGATAAAAGTCAATAATTCAAAAAAATACATAGACTTATTAAAAGGTTATTTGATGGTATTTTTTGAAGAAAAGCACGAAGGAAATGCTATTTTTCAACAAGATAACGCGACAGTTTACACTTCTAAAAAAACACTCCAGTGGTTTCGGCAAAAGGATTTACCATCTATGAAATGGCCTTTTCGTTCCCCGGGTGCAGTGGTACTCAAAAATAGCGATCACCTCGCCTGCCATCCAGCGTAACGGAAATGCTAAACTTGCACAGGCAAGGCGACCGCCGTCATTGAGTATTTCGCTTGTCTATTGAAAACAAAACAGATTTTGTTATTTTCCCTCAAACCATCCTTAGCACAAAGGTCTACTCTAACGCGTGGTATGATTGGATTTTCTCCTAGATCCTTAGTTTTTGGTACTAATGCTGTAAAAGCAGAATACACTATCAAATTTGAAAATTTTCCATTTTCTTAAAACTGATTTTTTCAAAAACTAAACGTGCTGAGAAGAAATGGTTTGCAAATTCGTAGACAACTCTCCCTCTCTCCCTCTTTCTCTCTGAAGATTATGGGGTTTCTTACATGTTGCACAGTGTAATTAATCGAGCAAGATTTTACATAGATAAACGACGCTTCTTATTCCGTTAGTACGTCTGTGCACGGGGAACAATAAGGATATTTACATTTTCCTTCTCTTCCCCTGAACAGTAAATCTAAGATACATCTTAAGAACTCTTACTCATAAATTACACTGCACACACCGAGAAACGCTCGATTCTCGCCGGAATCACCGCCGCCTTCTCTGAACGTGACTTTGCATCTGCTCGGAGACGTTCGTCCTTTCACGGTCAGCAAGACGTCGCTTCCTCACGGTAAAACCAGGTCGCACGCGAATCCTCTCCGTGAACAGGATGATCAATTACGAGACAGATGACTTTGCCATGCCCTGTTTCTCTTCGCGCTGACAACCCACATGACAGTTCACTCGTGACTCTTCAGTTTCGAGAAGAGTCGCGCTGGAGTTTTAATGTAGGTCTGATTGTTTTGGTTATTATTTGGTTATTCGGCAATCCGAAAATTTCGATATTTTCTTTTGAAACTGCGCAGGTTCCTAATGGATCTTAACAGAAGTATTAAGCAATTTTTTTTTTTGCTACTTTTCGGTTCTTCGGTATGTTTTTGATTCCGTAGAATGATAGAGTAGCTTCAAACGAGTTCAACGACCTATTACATAAGATCATAGTATGTGTTCGAAAGGACGACTGTCACCATCAATGCAACATTGGATTCTTTTTATGACTGATTGACGTGCAAGTCTTATAACTATTAGATTATATTAAATAAAATTATTAACGCCATCAGATGACTCTCTTCGAACGTAATCTGTATATTCACTTCTTATTCTAATAATATGTAGTTATTAACATAAAATTCATGTAAACCATTCAGGCGAAGTGGGTATTTGCGCTCGTGATCGAGATGCATCATTGATATTATTAAAGCTTCTTTCACTGAGCACAATTAGCACTGTTCAGAGCTGAAAAATTGGTTAGAATAAATAATAACAGATCCTATTGATAATAATATATAATCTCCATCTTGTGGACCATCTTCTTTCGCAGTATTAAAAAAACGAGAAACAAAAACATTTGTATTTCCTCTATTGGCTAGAATAGTAACGTCCAATCCGATTAGGTAAGCTCGTATGACGAAGAGAGGAAACTGGATACATCGAGAGCCAGTGAAACAAAGCGGTAGCTCACGGTAACTGTTGCTCTGTATCGCTTACTCTTAATGTATTGTTGAAGGCGACTTCTGGGAGTTTAATTAATTCGAGTAATCAATCTTCCACCATATTCACATTTATGACGTCCTGAAGTCTTTATTACTATTATTATCCTAATATTCCGACTCTCGTTGTCTCCGACATAGTAATCAAACTACTATTGTTCGAGTGTATGAATGATTCCGGTTTCATTTTCTAGGACCATCGAGCTGATCGCGCTGATAGCGATTTCCAGTACCCTCTTCCTTTTCTTACACACAAGGGAGCTGCATTCACGTTTGCGGAAAATGGAAGTTCGCCTTCAGCCTGGCGAGGACGAGATACTCTCGGCGAATCAACTCTCGTTCGGTGAGTTTCGCGTTTCACTTTATCTTCATCTTTCATGACATATATTGTATTATAATTTACATACATACCGGATTTAAATGCCCACTGGAGATCCATTACTATTAAATCGAATGCATCTGTCGGTCATGTCAAATGGTTATTTTTGACTAGAATGTCATCTTTTAAGCTGTTTTGTTTGGATATTTTTACAAATTAACCGTAAGACTTTGGTATCGGATTTTTGTACACATATTTATTTGTTTCAAAAATGTTGTTGTGGCGTTTGAAGCCGCGAAGCTGGCTACGCGTTACAACTGAAGATGCCTCCGAGTTCGAGGATCGATATGTGGATCGGTCGGTCGTTTCGCTGACAACCGCGAATATTTAAAAAGAGAGTCTGAGATATGACATGATACAGTACGGATGTATTATATTTGATTTGTATATATTTGTAAATGATTAATGTTGTACAGCTGTACAGTTATAAATAAATATTGTGTTGTATCACCTTTAATAATAAAACAAGATTACGTCGTGTGGTGGAACTCCACGGCATAACAATATTAACCATTTTTCGTGCAACAAAAACAAGCAGTATGTTCCACTGCGCGCTACGGTGCGCTTACCTGTAACGCTGGACGCCGCGACCTTCGTATGCCTGATGCGACTTCAATTTTAGAGTGCCCGAAAAACAGAAAAATGGATTTTAAAGAGAAAAGATCAAAGAATACGGGAATATTTTTTACGAATTAAAAAATGTATGACCTAGGGGTAAACTTTGCAAAACAAAAATATTTTTAATATTCTTGCATTACAGAAATAACTTTACGTACAAAATAAAACATTAATTACAAAGAATGATCTTTTATGATCAAAATGAAAGAAGAATCAAGTCTTTATGTTTAATAATTTCTAAGATAAAAATCCTTTTGTAATGGTAGTTTCCGTAAAAATCAGTGAAATTTGCCAACTTTGAGGGTCTGTATTTTTTAAACAATTTTGAAACCAGTAAAATGATCACTTAAACGCCTCTACTTTCACATGAAGTATAACATATTTCAATGTGAGTAAAATCCCAAACATCGTTTACAGAAGTGATTCCCTTGGCGTGGAATGACTCGTATAACAGTTAAGGAATATTTAAATCATGATTTAATGCAGAATTAAAATATAACACTTATAGTACAATTTCGTAATTTTTATTCTCTTAGTTCAATAATTCAGTTTTTGTTTTAAAAGTCGCTTTAATGATTATACTTATTTGTTATCTATGATCTGTGAAATTTTAAGCAAAATATATTTTTTCGCAGTCAGACGGCTTTTTTAAAACATTGTGCGCCATAGACTACTTAAAAATATTTCATAGTAAGTTTAGTCATGAATAAAGGACGACGGACACAAAGTTCAGTCGATCGTATGGAAGAAAATTCGTAAGTTGTCTCAGGGAATAGAAACATAATGAACAAATACATACATGTATGTACGTATATGTGATTCTATCGACCATATAAATAAGCACACATGCACCAGAATATCCTTGGTTCTCTGAGGAGTTCCCAACTTCCTGGTTAAAGAATATCAAAGTGTGAAAGTGAACTTACTAAGTACACGCTGGTTGTCTAGAGCGACGTGCACTTCACGTTTACTCCTTGCGTATACATGTATATGTGTATCATTTGATTATTATCATTCAAGCCAGTAGCATTTCGCATTCATGAGATACGTAACGGGATTAGGGTATCCGTTTGTGTCTAATACGCTAATTAGATACTACAGATTCTGTGGATATGTCGTTTCTTTAATGACACAGTTGGTTTTAATTTGTTGTTGTAAAGCATATTATACTCTAATTGGGAAAGTATGAGATCATTTCATATGTCTTTACGGTCTTTAGTACGAGTAGAAATGGCACTCCGACAAGAGCGTGACTCGTTACGAACAAATTAGTCGAAAGATTGTAGTTAAATTTTTACACGTAGGTAGGGCTTTGATTTCATGGAAAAAATCTTTGAAAATTTGTCACAAATATTATAGATATGACTAGGACTTGGCTAACGGCGGTTGTGTATTACTTATTGTTGCTACTTATTACAAACATAAATGAACAAGCAGAAAAATTGTTAATCATCCATAAAATGGTCACACTTTTCTATTTTTTTATATATTTTTTAATATTTTTTTTTGTATTTTTGTATATTTTTTTGTCTGCTATTAATTTATAACATTCACGCGAAAATCAATAAATTTATAATATCTTCTACAACTGATCCATTACGTTTTACAATATTGAACCATCTCTGTCAAGAATCTATGCTATTTTAAAAGCGATGATAAAGATTCCAAGAATATTTATCTATATTATGAGCCACAATACGATCAAACCTAATTTGTATAACTAGAATAATCAATAATAAACAATAAAATAGGAAGATGTTAATGAATCGTCCTTTGCTTCCATTTAAAGAATGTTGCACATCCATAATGTTGCCTAGAATTATTAGAACTTGACTATGATTGAAAAGAATGTAACACATTATACAAATACAGTGTTGCGCGAATTAATGTAAACACAGGTTATTTTAAAAACTATGTGTTTTCATTAAGTATGAACTTGGTGGCACCTATAAAACGGCATCGCTAAAAGTTTAATGAATTTCTGTCTAATTTCAGTCCTAAGAAATTGTAACTTATAATGGCCAATTTCTTACTTAAAAATATTGACAAAGATGTCTTCTAAATCTTTTAAAATTTTAAGAGTTCTTAATACAATAACTTTTTCAAATACGAAGTATACGAAACAGTAAGATAGCAGTTACAAATTGCAAGCGTTTAATTTTTTATTTCTAAGCATTTCAATGATATTGTTTACCGGAAAGTTAGAGTTTTAAAGTTAACGTAAAGTTAACGTTTTATGTAACTAATAATTCCTGACTGCTACAAGTTTTCTCCAATTATTTAAACATTTCTGTCACACAAGATGGTCTCTCCTCGAGAGATTAAATGCATCTCAGATGTAACTCAGAGAGTTCATATCTCTTGACCTCGTTTCTGGTGTTCTACATATTCTCAATAAAGGAAGCATTCCTCCTTACCACCAGTCTAATGCGTGGAACTGTTCGTAAATTTACTAATTCTGTTAGGTGGTAAATTATTGTTCAAAAGGCCTCCTGGTAATAGATTATCCTTCACACGAACAAACACGTCGCATGAAGAAAACAGAGCACAATGGCAGCTTTTCTCTTCAATTACCCACATTTTGACCGTCGACGATACACCATCCATTCATTCCGATACAATGTAATTGCTGAAACGAGAAACGAGAATTGGTATTAAATTAAATGTCCCTTCGGAATGGAAAGTCTTCAGGTCTCCTTTCAGGTCCGGCTCGAATATCGCAAAAGTTTCTGAGCCGCCTCCCATGAATGCGAATTCGCGTGCCGCGTAACACGATTTCTACTTCCTTCGAGATGAACACCAATGCCGTCAGACCAGTTTTGAAAATGTTTCCTGCACCGTGGGAACTGACGTCCCGGCGTTTCCATAACTTTATATTAAATTTCAGTCCAACTGTCCGATCGTAATCAAGACCGAGCAAAACGGGATAAGTACGCGGGTTATTTTTGGCAGAATTGAGAATTCACTACCGTGTCAATCTACGTTGCGCTGGGTAAGAACGAATATATAGTCGCAGACCGGAAGGAATTACAATTAATATTTAAAGCGACAATCTTAGGCTGAAAGTAATTATGTCTACATAGCACAAAATTATAAAGAGGCTCTAAAATATAAAAAAATTAAGTTTAATTTTTAATTTCTTGACCGTTTTATGTATTCCTGTTTATACAAATACGGTAGCTGTAAAAGGAAGTTGATTCTTTGACCAACATCAGATTATAGGTTGCGATTGTAATCTTGACTCGGAATGTATGTAGTAAAGCTTTCTTTTTTTTTTTTATTTTATTTTTAACTGCAAATGGCCATCTATCATATATGATATTTAGCGCATTTTATGTGGGATTACAATGCGCTAAATATCATATATGATTAGTGTTGTTAAAATGAGCCTCGAGTCTTGAGCTTTAACAGCTCGAGTCGCGGTTCAAACCCTAAAGGCTCGAACCCTCAAGGTTCGAAGCTAGAGTCGTGAAAGCTCGAGCTCTTGAACGCTCTAGCCTTTAAGCTTGAAGGCTCGAGTCGTATAAATTGTATGTAGTGAAGTAATGTACAGACCTTGCGTTTTCGAAGCCTTAAAACTTAACCTAAAAGTTTTCAGTTTTTAACTCTAATATTACACGAATCTCAAGCTTTTAAAG